AAGGAGGACGAGTTTATCATTTGTTCCGCGAAAACAGTTCACAATCACAGATGTGAACAAAGTCTTATGATAGGTGATCCATATTTTAGACGCCTGTCCGGGGATGAAAAGGAGAATATTGCACCAGTTGTGAAGACTACATCTGAGGTTGCTGATGTTTTGGAATATGCTGAAGAGAATTTTAATAAAATTTTGACGAGCACAGATGAGTATAATTTACGTAAGGATGTGAGACCAGGTAAGTGATGCAGTTTAAAGTTATTTTGGAAGTCATGCCTTTGAGATCAGATGTTATGCGCATAATAAGGCAAAGCGGTCAGGTGGTTGAATACATGGATTCGAATACAGGGATAACCAGCAGAATTTGCTTCGCCCTGGAATTACAGGTGCAGTTATATCGGAAATATGGAGAGGTGGTGTGTATTGACTCAACATACAATACCAATAAGGACGGGTAGGTTATGCGTGAAACGGTTGACAAATCTTAATCAGATATTCTCTGTTTCAGTTGGTGGTAACAGACAATATGGGCCATGGCAGGCCTGTTTTTCGGCATGGACGAGACGAGAGAGGCTATGTGATGTAGCTTGGATATTGGAACAATTCCAAAGAATAATGCAGGATACGTCCATTACAGAAACTTTCGCAATGGATTCGGCCAACTGTGAGATATCCGCCGTGCGTAATAGTCAAATTCAGGCGAAAATCGTCATCTGTGCATTTCATGTATACCGGGCTTTCAGCAGGAAGGTGAGGTGAATGTAATTAATACCTGATGCATTTAGACTCGAAATCCTTTTGTACGCAGGTTTTTATATCGTCTTGTTAAAGCTGCGACACCTGAAAGGTAAATGCACTGATTTCTAACCATTTAGATTTCATCACTACCTTAGTGTCATTAGGACGGTTGATCGGAGGGTGTGGAATTATGTCAGGCATTACTGGGTGCCTAAGAAGGAGACGTGGGCTGCGGCATATATGCCGAATACTCTGTTGCTGTTTAATAGTACCAGCAATAGAGTTGAAAGCTCCCATAGAGTCACCTAAAACGATATCTCCACAGAAGAGATCCCCTACACGCATGTATGTACAAGACGTATAAATGGTGTGTACGCACAGAGAAGCGTCGAAGTGTTGAAGTCACCGTCGAAAGTTGTTGGATTCATAAGTACCACGCACCGGAACCAGTTATGCCGATATTACGAAACTTCATTCCTTATGCCGCTAAGTTAATTGCCAAGGACTATAGCCGTAATCGTCGGATGAGCATAGAGTTTTATAGTGATGATATGGCTATCATAAATGACGGTATATACCTGCACCAAGTGGATTATACCAATTCTACTTGTACCTGCAGAATTTTTAGGGCACAAAGAATACCTTGCCGGCATATGCTGCTATGTCACACTCAAATTCCTCAGTTTACAGGTAAATCAAACTCTTACTAATATTTAAATTAATATTTTTAGTTGACAAAGTAATTTGCCTGTGTCGCAGATGGTTTTGGCAGGATCCGTTGCTACCAAGTAGTGTGCCGTGTGAAGGTTCAGTGAAGAAACCCTGCAGGGAGATACTGCAACTTCGCAGGCAATTGAACAGAAGCTTCGCAGTTATGCAGGATAATTATAGTAATGAATACACTATTAGTGCACTGTGAGCAACTCTGAATTACTTTGAGAATTTTCTTGTCTAATAATGGAAGATGTACATACATTTTGTGTCAATAAATGCAAATATACCCTAACTTCTAAACTGCATACGTCTTGTGTTTTACCGTTTCAAGTGACAAAAGTTTAATAGTAATTTGCGAATATAGTAGAAAGCATTTTATTGAGAGCAAGTAGAAGTGAGTACTAGGCGGAATCTTCAGTACTTAGTATGAGAAGTAAGGTAAACTTTTTTTCTTGTAAGTACGCAATGAAAAGATAATGACTAGTTTTTGTAATTAGCATTGTATTTACTATGTAGGTAATGTTATTACAGGCATACGTTGCTATAACGTGTCTAGTCTTGGGTATCGCTGCATCAGTAACACCAATTGTAGCGTTTTCCAGTCAGTAAAATTTCGACGTTTCGTACGACAAACTTCGCAGAAGGTAGATGAAATTAAAGGCTGCTTCCAGACGATGCGTACAACGGCATCTCAGGCAATGTCTACAAAGACAAAAATAAGATAATTAGAAGACACGTTAAAATGCATAGGTAAATAAGTCAAGTACTGTTTTGGAATAAGGGAGATTACTAGTATTATTACAAGGTCTTCAACTCATTTCATTTCTTTCGACTGCCACCATTTCTTGCTTCAGCGTTTTTTACTTATAGTTCACTGCTACTTCTCCGTTGCACCCTATTTACACAGTGCAAGGGAATGAGAAAATTAGTGCAATACTTAGGATACGGCAATAATAAGGGTATAAGCAGATTAACACTGCAGTGAGGTGCAACAGTAATAATAATTTGCTTTGTCCGAAAACAGTATTAATGTTACAGTGTTGAATTTGCAGCATCTCGTATATTATTGTATCTAATTTTATGAAGTAATATTCGCAACAGTTGTAAAGATTACATTACAGAAATCGACAAGATATATAGTTACCAAGAAAGACCAGAGGATATAACAACTCCAAGGTGTTTCATGCTAGACTTCGTTTATCTTTCAGTTGGTAATAAGCAAAACATATTTCCTCAGATGTGTTTCCACTTCGCATACACCAAGTTGACAGAGTGAATGCATCTGTGCCATAAACAAAGACTTGCAGACATATATCTAGTAGTTCTTCTAGCTGACTGTCAATGGTTTTATGAACCAATACCAGTTTTTCATTTGACCGACCCAAACACATTTTGAACCTTAACATGTGCTGGCTAACATTATCCCTCGAGGAAGGCGATGGCTTGGTATGTCATCACGTGTTATAGCCATCTCAACCTATTCAGCTTCTCTACCTTGAAGACTAACTTACCCTCCCCCCATAAAAATTTATGCGTAACCTCAACAGCAATCGCCATATTATACTGCTTTACTCATGAGATGGAACACAGACACCTATTATCAAACACCGGTATTCTTTTCATATTTTCCAGTATCAGGAGTTACTTCTCATAGTCTAGGTGTACAGTATCATTAGCAAACTGTAAGTTGATGATGATAAGTCCCAAAACTCATTTATAGAAAGTCGTGTTTGACAGAGGATTATTTGGATGCTCTCAGCTTGAGAGATAGTTTGGCGGAAGACGTGAAATTCGTCAGCGTGATCCATTTCAAGCTGCTGTAGAGCAACCACATGGACTTGCATAATCTATTATTACATTTAGGCCAGGTGACCTCCTGAGTCCCCTTTTAGATGACGGCTCTACAGAGTGCTACGTTTACTTTATATAATTCACGAATTGAGTGGAATCGCCGCCTCTCTTTGATAACCTGCATTTATGATTTAAAAAGCTATTGACACTTAATATCAGATGCATGGTGCGTACCCTGTGAATTGCTTGTTAGTATGACAAACAGAGGGTGCTCGGTAACCATCTAAGGGCGCACTACACCATGGAAATACCCTTCAATTTATCCACAACTTACGCAACAATTTTCTACATACATTTAATATCTGATGGTTAGAGACATGTTGGTTAACCATTCAAATAAATAGGGTTATGAATGGCCTATAGGCTGGTTACACTTATTCTAAATTTTTAAAATAGGTTAAAGGTATACGTCACACTGATAGCTGTGTAGCTCACTGGGCGTTTTACGACTCCAAAAAATACACTATGTCCGGCGCAATGAATCCACCCATCCAAATTCGATGACTTAATCCCTGCTGTCCTTGTTTTAAGTGGGAAATCTGTTATCGGCGGTTTTAAGAACGATATATAATAGGTGGTTAAACTGACTGGTGCACTTCTTCCTACTAAACGTTGTTTGTATTGGATCCAGTCGCTTTGAGGAGTTATTGTGAATCAGATGAATCCTTCTGCAGTAGTATGAAGTTCAGAAAAACATGGAAAACTTCGAAGAGTATGAAAGTAAGTGGTAAACTTTATTGTCATAGATTGTAGTCTCATTCGCCCCAAGATATGAAACGGAGTAAGTGATAATCAGTATCTCTGTAACCTTTCGACCCACATACAATCGCTTGAGACCACCTTTGTGAAATCATTTTACTTCCACACAAATATAGTCAGTTTTCCCCAATTGTAACTACATCCAGGCATGTCTGGGAAAAATATCCAGTTGACATTTCCTCTACAATTTCATCACAGAACTCTTTATCCCTATTTAAGTTGATACGTGTTATAAAGTTCTGATTAAGTGAGATTACTGTTCTTAGTCCCTTCAAGATAGCTGACGCCATCACCTGCTGGTAAATGTCTCCTATCAAACAGCAGAGGGTCGCAGTGAAGATGTCCACGATATACAAGTAATCTCTTCATACTCAGAAGAGGTTGTCAGGAGTTATACGAACGAAGTATGATTATTCATATGAATGACCATATACCAACACGATGTAGCGTTTTGTAAAGGACCTATTTACGGGACAGGCAAGGAGGCAATCACGCAACTGGACAGAAATTTGGAATCGCATCTGACAACTGCACTACTGAGCTGCCTTCTTTGACACTGATTCCATACTCATATAATAATTTCATAGATATGCATAGGGATTGCAATACACTTGTCAACGATTCATTTCACCGTAATCATTATTTATACATTAACTTATGCAGTACTATGCAATACTCTTACATTTATGTAACGGACGAAGGTGAATTAGTCCAAGTGTTAGTTATTTATCAAATATTTAAGTTGTTTATTTGAAGTAATCGGTTACTATATCTACTGATCCCCTTTTTACACAAATGAGGACATGAAACTATGGTGAGCCTGAATAATAATATCGACATTTTCAGAGTTTCACCTTAATGAGCCCGTTATTCTACACTTGTTCTCTGTCTCATAGTTTGACTAAGCCTCGTGAACTACTGTCAAGGGAAATAAAGCAATGGTTGAACACTTTAAATCCCCAGTCAAAAAGTCAGGTTTCATGAATCTGTATGTTTGGGGAAGTCAACATGTTGAATAGGGCGACCTTGATTTTCTCCCGCAAGCTTTAACTATGGCGGTCTAGTGCCTCGATTTTTTACGATTATAGGTAACTGCGTTTGTTTGCAGCAAGTTATGCATATTACTCACTGCATTTCTTTCTAATAGTGAAAGGTTTTGGATACCAGAATTATTGCATCAACATTAAACTTAATTTCTTCTGTTAACTAGGATATAATGCGATTGTGTTCTAATGAATACATAGGTATATGCTGGTTAGCAGACCCATAGTAGGTGTTCGTTTTTCTGCCCCACTCGGGATTTTATTATGCCTGGGGAATACAACCAGTCGAACAAAATGGTAAAAGTAGGTGGATAATTGGTACGGCTTGTGATAAGATAGTTGAGTTTTGGTTATATGCCATAATTTTTCCTATTTATAAAATTATTTAACCAAAATTTAGCATTACTTAACTGATATTTTCCTGTTATACAACCAATATCATATAGAAAATTAACCAGTATTTTCCACAATTTAACCACTACTTTCCCACCTTAATCATTATTTAAGCAGTATTTCCCCATTTCGACCGTTAAATAACCAGGTCTTGCCAATTACATGATTATTATTAACAGTGTTCAGAAAACGGTCTAATTCAACCATTATTTAGCCATTCTTTGCCCATTTTCTGCTCCTTGCGAAGGGGATAGGTATAAGTTGGATGACTTTTTTAAAATCTGAAGCATAGAAAGGAAGGAGAGATCTTGAGGTATTGAATTGATCCAACCTGTAAAGCCCTCTTTATGGCTCAAAAGAAATCCATAGGTCGATGTTATGTTTGGGTGCAATCTCCGCATAACTCTTTAAAGACTTCATTGTACTTTAGCTAACATTGTCCATTGAACAAGACGGTGATTTACAGTTCATAGTATGTAATGTAGCTTCAAAACCTAGCCGACCAACGTATTAGGGTTGTTTACTATTATTGTGTAAATAGATTTTCTAACAATGATGTGTAGTTCTAAAGAGTGATATAGGTAGGTGGAGTGAGAGAGGTTGATAACTGAATGAATCCTGGTTCATCGAGTCTACATCCAACATGTGCAATAGAAATGACTCAGTGCAAATAATATCAGAGATATGGAAGATATTATTACCAGTCAAATCAGAGGATAATAAATAGTGTTAAAATGTATTCAATTCACATTGTAGCATTCTAACATTGATTTACTTTACGATAAAAGCACATTATCTCCCATCTCATTGTATTTTATTGGTGACACTAATATTATTTCCGAATGCACTTTATCCCATATTGATTTTATTCAAATGCTTAAACATCAATTTTACTCATGTATATAAACGAAGCCAGAAAGTAGTTATGTGAGTACCTTGATATGATTATGAACAATAAATTGTTCTCGAAACGTCATCAGTAAATATTTCTGTACAACACTGTGACTATCGAAATAAATTTTATCCATAATGGAATTAATTATCACCTGTTTTCACTTCATAAGAATCTTGATTATTAACAGAAAGTCACTATTGCGTGATTTTCTCACCTGAATGGATGTGAAATAGTTATAAATGGTTTGTTTTTCTGTATTTGCATAAAATTACCTGGGGGTGTTCCTAACTTTTTTATTCCGAGGTTTCTTTGTAATGCGAATTAGAATTAAGGTAATTGTTAGCTTTCCAGCAGAATTATTGATAACCTCAGTGATTTTTCTGTTTCGGTGATAACCAATTTTTTCGCAGGAAAATCATTTTAAGCGTCTCAGAGAAGAACAGCAACAGAAACTAGCTTGTTCGGCAGTTTATGTTACGGATAATGATCTTTGGAGCCAGGTTACAAAAAATAGAAATAACTAGGGACATAGTTGTTAGTTTTGTTAGGAAGTTAATTGAAAAAAAATAGCTACTGATAAATCTGTAGCACGGATTCTAAGGAATAGATCTTCAGTGATAGGCGAAATATTTCAGCTAACTATTAACCTATTATGTATGCCATGAGAGTCTTTCTTCGCTGGGTATTTCTCCATATCTGAAATATGTGACTATAATTATATATTAAGAGGTTTGCTTCTAGTTGTACAAAATACATCGCTATTTAGTGACTGAAATTTACTACGTAAATTCCGTAGAACATACATTCTGTGTTCCGTTTAATTTCTGTGAATTTTCGCTGGCTTTTAACTGCCATGTAAAGTTAGGCTGACAGTGTGTTATGTACAGAAGCAAATAACAAGAATATCGCATAGAATCTCTAATTGTGTGTGAAAATCTATAACTATCTACAAAACGCGAATGATGTTTTCCGCACTTTTGGGATCACAAAAACAATATTTTGTTAGCAGAATTTTACTGCTTGGGAAAAGTATAAAAAGCCAGTTATCCGGTAACAGATCCTTGTTAAAAGTCTATCGCTTGTTGGAAATATCATACAGTGTGTAGAGAAATCCTGTAATTTTATTTCAAATACAAATTCCATCAATCATGAATTTCATATAATATTGTTGTACTTCAAACTAGTTATGTTTACGTTTCTTTTGAGTACCAAAAGTGTATTTATTTTTGTAGGAAACATGAAATCGGAAAATGGTTCCACGCTTCCATTCAATACCGAGTAGGTTTAAATTTTGTTATAGTATATGCTTTTATAGTTACTTCTTTGTTTTGTTAGGTGAATAAAGATCTTTATCGATTAGTACGTAAGATCTATGTAGTTATTTGACAAACATATGCTATTGCAAGATATAGCAAGTAACGGCTGACTTTTTCGATAAATAAAACACTTGTATATATCACAAAAATTAGGCAGAGTTCGATTTTTAGATTACCAGAGACAGTAGTGCTCATTGATTTGGTGATATAACTTCCGACCATTAGGTTAAAAGTTCAATTCCTTGATACTTACCTAGACTTGAGACACCGCAAAGTGTCATAAAGTGTATTATTTTATCCTTCGAATAGTAACACTTGTATTTTTCAATATTCCATGAGTTTTTAGCCCAAAAACTGCTATTTTACGCATCTTTGAAGTTTAAAGGGTAAATTGTCAACCTTGATGTCTTGTGAAATGTATTCTGTATTGCTATCACCCTTTATTTCTATTATTTAATTTTATTACTTAACATTTCGGGTGGGCTTCAAGCTAGAGCTTTGCAGTTTCGGTAGTAGTGGTTTTATTTTACGTAGGTTGCTAACCTCACGCCTAACCTTCCCTCTTTACCGGCCTTGCTACCGGCTTAGTGAGGTTAGGGAGTGCGTTGGCTGGTGATTGAACCCCTGAACCACGTGTGTGACTGGGGAGCATCCTACCTCTGGGTGAGCATTCTACCACTAGACCACCGACACAGTTTTGAGTGTAGGGGGTGTGTGAAAATAAGAGATTAAAGGTCATAAAAATAATTGACTGGTAGGTGTTAGCGGCAAGATATCAAAGTTCTGAGTGGAAAGTGTGTGAAAATAATTACGGAATTCAAGGTCAGTTAATTCATAGAGGTTAGCAAAAGTTATTGCATAATCGAGGGGTTTGTAAAATAATGATGACTATGTAGAATTACATAAGAATACCAAGATACAAACAAGTTAATTGAATTAGCTACAGTTGTAATCACAATAAAATTATAAAGTCATAGGTTAGTTAAAAGGGGAGAGAGAAGTCGTTTGTAAAACTTAATACATATTGTGTAATTGGCCAGGTCAAAGAAAGGGGCTGCACAAATTTGGAGCCCCGGTGGGTGCGTACTGATGAAGAGTCCCAGACTAGACTGGCGAAACAGCTGTCCAGTACTCCCAGGTTTTCCAATGGATCTCTAACTGATGTCAGCTCATGATGAAATCCTGTAACCGATCAATCAAATCCTTACAAATCAATACTTGAACACATATTTAGCTTGTCCAGAAGAATTTCTTCGATTTCTTCTGCTGTATGTAAAAGTCGTACTTATAGACCATGCGAGAGATTGGGTGAAATATGATAAACAACTTTAAAAGCTTTGTTAGAGTCAATCTGATGTCCAGTATCGATGAGATGAGCTAGCATTGAGCCGTATAGCTTTATTCGACGATGAACTTGCCTGATCGTACGCACAATGTGACTAGCTCCACACGAACAGTTAAACTGGTAAATACACATGTATACTTGACTAAAGTGGGCTGCATACATGTAATTGGTTTCACTGTGTTCAATTATAACTATTTCGGAAGTATCTATCTGCTGCAATTTCTTAAAATATTTCAATCTACTTGTTTTCTTCCTTTTTGCAGTACACTTGTGTCAGTGCTTTCTCAAAATCTAGAATTAAATTTAAAACCTCATCAAGTTTTACAGGTAAAGTTTGTATTTTGATTATTTGTTTAATGTATACTTATGGTTGAATGATTACTTTCAAAGTATTAAATATACGTTTATTTAACTTAGTTAATCAGAGCAATACTGGTATATGAGTTCATCTTTCCGAAATGTTGTAATCATGGGCTAAGTGAATGCAGAATATGATTCCAAGAAACCATCTAAAGTGTATTTGGGATTAAAATGCGGTGTCTAAAACTTGCTTGTGTATCTTGGTCATCTACAACACTTGTCATCTGTGTCAGTTAACACTTTCACATTTTAATTTTCTCTGTGCGTCGGTGGCACAGTGGTTAGGACTCTCGCCGACCATGCACATGGTCCGAGGTTCGAGCCCCTGCCGGCGCACACCCGATATCTATGGTCGGCCTGCAAAATTTGGGCTACCGATATCCATGCTGAAAATGCCATACTTGTACTGAAAATACGGTGTGGCATCAAGCTGTAACCAAAATAAAAATAAAATAAATACTTAAACTAGCTAATAGTTCTTTCCAAAATCCAGACTAATGCATAGTAACGTCACACTATGCAAATATTTACCTTAAGTATGTGTAAGTCTAATATTTTCATTTTCTCTAGGGACCCGCTCGAATTGAGGATGTACTATCTTGCTAATTATTGAGTTTACAACTAATCGGTGAATTCATCTTCTTTTTTTACTGTGATTGGACACAAGGTAGTAAGTAACTGGTGCCATGCATTTAGTCCTCTGTAGGATCCATACTGAATTCTATTAGTCAAGTTTGCCACCATGCCTAGGTGGCTTGCCATCACGGTGCACTCTGAATTGTTGTTATTGTATGGTTGTAGGCAATCGGCAGGAAGCCTTGCTTGACCTAGGTTTCGTGCTTGTTGGCGCTCACCAATCACCAAGGCGTATCTGCAATCTTGAAGGAACTCATGTCAACTCTGAGATTCGAACTCGTGTCACCCAGTGTTGCAGTCACAGACGTTACCACTGAGCTATTCGGTCCAACTCTTCCTGCCGGTTTCCTCCAGCCATCCAATAAGAACAGTTCATCTCTTTTTGTTACATATATTAATCTAAATACTTTAAAGCTAATTTTATTCCGAAGTAAAAAGGGAAGCGTGGTTACAATTGATTAGTCTTGATTTTCAGCATTCAACTGTTGTCTTACAAATTCACCTGTGAATTCAGTTCAGTTATATTTGATTTGTGCCTATACTACCTAATAAAGCTGAATATCAAAAGTGTAAGGTAAAACAGTAGTATTCATATAGATGGTTTCTTCCGAAAATTGCTTAATTTTACGTCCATTGAAATCAGATAAACATTTATTACAAAACTAGATAGCATTGAATAGGTACCCCATGTTTGTGTATAACTTGACAGTGTGCACTCAACTAAAAAAACTTGAGATTTTAAAAACTAATGTGTTATTATTTAGCTAATTATTTATCGTCAAGTAGTACGCATTTTCCAACTTTTTCAGTTTGTTGTTTGACTAATGTTCAGCGACCCCTGTGGATTAGTGACAAGTTTCGGTCTGATGAAGATGGAGTAAATAGGGACTGGGCGTGTGTAACACATCGACTACCCAGTATTCTATGTCCAACATCCATTCACTGCTGCATATTTGTTGCACAATTGGTTCCTGCTGGGTTGGTTCGCTCATCGCCAGAGATCCCTGTTGCTGATCTTTTCTGGCCGGCCATCTGATCTTGAGTAGTAGTGGGGAAAGACAGCTGCTGATGAAGATCTATAGTTTGTTCGAAATGCCCTTGTGACGCGGCGCCAAGTCTCTGATCTGTATAATAGCACTGACCTCACATTGGAGTTGGAAATCCGGATCTTATTTTTCATGCTGAATGCTGTTGATCTTCACACAGACTTAAGAGTAATGAAAACTTGCCTTACTTTCTCGATCCTCGCTGCTTTGATATCCTCATCAGTTCCGTCCGCCTGTAGTTGAAACGATGCTTCCCACGTAGGTAGGCAAAGGTGGTTGCTTCTTTCGGATTTCTCCCATTTATGCTGATTGTTGTTGTTGCCGTTGCTGTTGGCCGAGAATCTTCATCACCTCTGTCTTGTCTATGGCGACCTGAAGTGCTATCTTTGATGCTTCCACTGCCAAACGGTTGCTTTTCGCTTGCATATCTTCCAGTTTGTGGGAAATCAGACATACATCATCGGCAAAGTCCAGATCCTCCAAGTTTTTTACATAGGTCCAATTTATGGTTCTAAAATATCAAAGATTTTCTCGAAAAAGGGAGAATTAATTAAGCACATAATATCAATCCGTGATCAACTCGTAAAAAGAAGTGAAGAACTCCAAAATGAACCCCTTAAATAGTAATTGTAATCGAGATAAGGGTAAAGTGGGGTTATATTTGTTCTACTGTTGAAAATGAATCACCCGTGTTATCTGAGCACAGCTGTTGGTTTTTGAGATTGTGACCATTTTAAACCATATTGAAGTACAGGCATATTGTTAATTGGTCGTCTAAGATAACACTTTTTGACTCTAAGCTTTTTTTTCATAGCCTGTAGATATTGTACAGACGTTGCATTTTGGGACTGCCTTCTAGTAAGGACGCGATTAATTTGTCTTTCTAAAGTTGCAGGAATTAAAATCAGCCGCGGAAGATTATCTTTTATAGTGGATGAATTGAATATATTTGTTTGAATCATCACAGGATTCTTCATGTAACTTTTCCATTGTCACTATTTTCACAGATCTCTGAAAGTTTATTTTATCGGTTACATAAATTCGAAGACTCAATAACGAAAACCAACAAGTTAACAAAATAAGCAGCAAGGATAGGACTTCAGGTGGGCATAGAGAAGGCGGAAGTGTTAGAGATAACCAATCATCCAACAACAATTACAAGTACCGATCATTATCAACGGAATAAATTTGAAAAACGTTGCTTCCTTCATTTATCTAGAAAGCACATCGTTTCAACTACAGGAGGATGGCACGGATGAAGATGTCAAAACCAGTCAGAATCAGAAAGACAAAACAGACCTTCATCACTTTGAAATCAGTTTGGAAATCGTCTGCACTCATCAATGAGGAATATAATTCGGATTTTGGAAATCAATGTTAATTCTGGTCTTCTATATGGCTTAGAAACATAGTGTTTCACGAAAAGCTTTTCAACACAGCCCGCTTCAGACTTTAATCGACAGCTGCTTTTGATGCCTTCATATTGGAGATTAGATAGTCGACTAGAAAGAATTAGCAACAAGGAAATCTTGGAATGAACCAATCAAGAACCTATTGCTCAACAAATATCCCGAAGAAAATGGAGATGGATTAGACACATGCTGCAGATACCGTCGGGTGACATCACACTCCAGGCCATTGCTCGAGTGGAACCCGAATTGGAAATGACATGCGGAGCTGTGGTCCAACGGTGACATGGAGGAGATCGTGCGAGGAGAAGGTGAGAGCTTATGGACAGCCATGGAGCCAGCTAAAGAGAGTTGTAGAGAACAGGACAGAATGGAGACGTACTGTTGAAGCCCTATGTTCCACTCAGAACCCAGTGGAACATTACTAATAATATAACATAATAATAAATTTCATAAGAAGCAACAATAGCGGAATTTTCAACTGACTTTCAGACTGGTTGGAAGGTTTTTCTAGGTCCAAGTAGTTATGTTAAATCATTCTACGTTGGTATCCGGCAGTTCAGTAACGAATTCTAGGAGGAAGTAGTATTATGAGTCTAAAAATCTAATACCATCGACAACGTGAAGAGGTACGCAACATTATACTAGCTTGTAGGTTCTTGTAATCAGAATAAGTGAAAAGCATCACAAAAATGATACATGTGGTACGCAATAATATTAGTTTACAAGTCTGAAAACAATGTCGATTGTAGTACTTTTTACGTATGAATTTCTGTCTCTTAAGCTTAGTTAGTCAAATAAGCTATGAAATAAATAATCATTAGTCTAGGAAAATCTTTGTTTCATTCGTTTCAGACAATTTTTAATGACATAATTTCAGTTTTTATTTTTTTAGCAGACAAAGCTAATTATTATTATTATCCTCTAAAAAATGAACAATTTGAATGAATGAATGGATGAAAGCAATCCTTATATAATAAATTATAGTCTACAAATTTCCTTTTAATTTGAGATAAAAATATGCTTTCCGATTGGTTGAAATTTAAATTCTACAAATGTTGAATGACCGGTTAACTATATTATCGATAGGCAGTTAAGATACACCTTTGTTCTACTAGAGATAAAATTGCCAGACAGATACAAATTGGTGTACTGACTATTAAATCGTATGTATGGTTCATGTTATGGTTGGTGATGCAGCCCTAATGAAGCAGACTTATTTGTAATTTAATTCAATCTGGATAACGCTTTGGCGTTTGAAACTATGGGTAGCATCACTCGCTGGGGGGAAATGCAGATACGTCCAATTGACGAGTCCCGAATAGGACGAAATGCGCATTTTGGATTCCAGTGCTAGTTACCATCCAACAGATTATTTCAGAATTATTTATAATCTACTATTGAATGATTCAGGATCAAGTAACTGTAATAATGATGTACACTATACCTTTACTTATTTAAGCATATCTAAATTTCATATGAAATAATATGTCGCGCTTAACACACTAAGAAATTGTTAGGTTTTATCACAAACCAGCATTAGTTAGAGAGACTGTTGAAAACTAGGCAGCACTGGTCAGCTGTTTCGTCCTATTTTGGTACTCTTCATCAGTGAGAACCTACAAGGGATCGAACCCGAGACCTTTAGGTTACGAGACTGAACCCATTGACCATTCAGCTATTTGAGTCGGAATTCACTGACCCATGAATTGTAACTTTTTCAACTCATAATATAGCGCTACCATCACCCGGCGTCTTCGATGAGCGTCTACTTCACCTTGATGACATGGTGTGGACGCCACTGGTCACGTCTTCTCACTACAACTTCAGGACGTCCATCCAGTAACTGTCAACTAGATTTTAAAGGTGAAAACAT